TTTGGTATTTTATATAGTTTGATATTATGTTGAAATTAAAAGGAGAAGTCAGAACAAAGACTATCAATTACTATTGCTTTTTAAATTTGGTATCATCTTAATGACAAGCAATTATTATTATTAGGCTTTTAATTTAATTCACAGTTAATTTCAATTTTGGTAGACTTTATTAAGATGTCATTGTATACTAGAGTTGAAAGTATAAAAAAATTTTTGGACATGTTTAGAAGGGCATGCCTTTGTCAAAGACATGCCTCTCTGTGTCTTGGGCATATTCTCTCTAGATATTATAACCGATTAATCTAAATTAACTATGATAATTGACCAATCAAGTTAACAAAACTTTATATATATATACTGTGCTCCCAAACCTATTGCATACACAATATGTATAATTTTCATATAATGATAGGCTGTTAATTTATTAAAACTAATGTATAACTTGTCACATTGCTCCAATTTTAAAATTTAGTTTTAAGAAAAGTAATTAAAGTAAATTATATATTTATATAATATTAAATTAATATTTATATAAGTTTATTCTATTAATTTTACAAATATAATTAATATAGCTGATTACATATTACAATTAAGAATTTTAAGTATATAAACAGTACATATATATTATTATATATATTATTTTTATGCTAAACATTTAAACCTAAAAGCTTTTATATATTTAAAAAAATAGACAATTAAATTGTATATAATTAGATAGTAATAGTTAAAATTATTTTATTAGTAAAAATAAACTAACAAATAGATCAAAATCTATAATTACAAAATTTACAAATTAAACTAAAACTAAATAACATGATTTTTTATAATATAATAATTAAAAAAGCTATATTGGATTTAAAATCTGTAATTAAAAAACATAATATATAATTAAAATATAAATATAGTTTATTACCAATATGAAAAGTGTATATTTAGAAGCATAATACTATATAATAATAATAATATAAATAACAAATTATTTATAATATTAATTGCAACTTTAAGCATTATATTTGCATAAGTTAATTTTATTTAATTATTTATATACTTTAAATAAAGATTATTTATAAATAAAAATTCTAAGTAATTAATCATTGATTTAAAAAATAGATACAGTCAACCTTCCATAAATGCATCCTCTTGGAACTATAAACAAAAATTTTAAACATGTGCATTTAGAGAGGGTGTGCATTTATAGAGAGCATTTTATTAAGTGCTCTATATGCTTGAGACTGAAGATTAGTGTGCATTTAGAGAGGGCATACATAGTGTGTGCATTTATAGAGAGTGCATTTATGGAGGGTTGACTGTAGCATATTTGTAACAAAAGAGCCACAACTTGAGAATATATAATTTTGAGATAATTGGTTTACTTCTTGGACTAATTTGAGTTTTGATCACCTAATTATATTAAAGGATTTTAGAATTAACTAATAGTTAGTAATTTTTCAAATTCATATAATACAGATTATTTCTCTTTTTTGTTAAAAGATCTTTGATTAGAAAATTCTTTTTTAATTCTATAGTACAAAATTATTGGCTATGTTGTTATTTGGCACACAATTATCTTTTAAATCCTTAGGACCTCACGAATCTCTAAACTACATATTCATAGAATAACTTTTGCAAAAATATTTTAAAGATGTTTAAAAACTGATTGTTATTTTTAGATAATAAAAAATGTCTTTTTTTAAATAGAAATTGGTCTTATAATAATCTCTTAATATATTGCAGATTATTTCTAAATTGTGTAAAATATCCAACTGAAATAAGTAGATGTTTAAAAAAAATAGATTAGTAGAGAAACAAAAATTTAGTAAATAGATTAAGATTTAGGGGCAAAGCATGGCTGAAGCTAGACTGGCATTAAACAATAATATCAGTAAACTATACTATAGCAAAATTATCATCTGGGCAGTTTTGCTTAGATGTGGGCTGCTATTTTATTAGTAAAATTTTGGTAATCTTGAAAGAAATTTATTAATTCCAGCCTATTTGACTCTAAATTTTGGTTGATCTGCTAAATTTTTGCTATTTATTTAAAAGATTCTACTTCTATTTTAAAATTTTGACTTAGAGAATTAAATAGATGCACATAGTAATAAAATTAGCTTTTTTTTTGTAAATATCTATAGTAAATATTCATGCAAATAAGTCTATATGTTAAGAAAAATAGAATTTATAGATCATATGTTGTAACATAAATATGTTAATTACTTTATCTAAAATAAGATGCCAAATTGTTAACTCTGAAACCATTATTAGATAATCTAAATTCTTTTATATCTCAATTCTTATAATACAAATCAATTTTTATTTATAGACATATATTTGTAGTCAATATAGAAAGTTAACTAATTTTTGCAAAAATTTAGATTTGCTTTCTAGGCTAACTCAACTGCAATATTACAAGTAAAGCAATATAGTATAATATAAAATGTTAGGTTTTTTTGTAAGTACATAAATATAATATATAGAATATATTTTGTAAAATGCAGTCACAAAAATGTTAAATTTATATAATGAAGTATGAACAAAATTTTATGCATGATAGAAAATTATTAGTTAAATGTCTAATTATACAAATTAGGTTTTAAAATAAAAAAAAAATAGAAGTTATTTAATTAAATCTTTATTGCCAAATTGCAAGCAACATTTATGAAAATGCTATATATATTTAGTTAGGATATTATTCTACTTAAAATACTCAAATTGGCTTAATAAGATACAATTATTATTATTATTAGTTTTTGATATATAACTATTTAAACTTACTATTATTAATTGCTTAGAATTGTATAAAGGCAATTACACAGATAGAGTAAGAATTTTTGGTTTTTTTTGCTATATATTAATTAATTAAGCTTGTTAAAATGTTAGCATATGAATAACATTACTAATTATTAAAAATTGATTTATGTTATCTGATGACTATTTTGTTACATTATATAAAGCAGGATAACATCCCAATCTGTAATATTTATATTGAGTATTTTTAAATAAATATACTCTATAACTACATGGTTGAACAACAATTAGATGATGCATATATAAGCAGCAATTTTAAACTTTGATATTAGCAGTCTCATGAATTTAGAAGTGCTTTAAGTTACAGTTAGTGCTTAATAAAATTTACAAAAACCAAAATAAAAACATTAATTGATAAATATTTAGTATATAGTATTACATATCTTAAAATCTATTTTTATAAAGTTAATCAGGCAACAGTACTTTAGAATAAACAATATTTAATATAGTATACTCATTGGAGTCTTGCTGAAAAAAAACATGAATTGAGCATAGAGAAGTATATTGGAAAAGAGCTACATAAAGTTGACTATATATAAAAACTGGTGTTCAAAGATCTAGACCAATATTCATTAGTAATTGTTTCTGAGATTTATTAATAGTAATAGCAAAAGCAGTACAAACTGAAAACTGTCTTTGTTTAAATATAAATGATAAGTTAGTTGAAGATAATATTAAAGTGATGCAAGAGATAAAAACTGTTTTTTCAGTGTAGCTTCCAGAAAGTAGATATGCTTCAATAACATGATCTGTAAGACAGGTTACTACTAAGCAAAAACTATTACAAAGTTTCTAATAAAGTGCAAGGTTATAAAAAAGTATAATAGAATATCTGATTTTGATACCAAGCTTAGAAGATAGCATTCTGGATGGATTAAGTATGTTTAAGTATTCAACAGGATATATATTGCTGTTATCAGCCCCTACTTCTATTATAGCATCATCAGTGCTTAAATACATATGATCATTTTCAGAAACATATCAAGAACAGCATTGTTAATATCTTGAACATCATCATTACAGGCAAATAAAATCATTCTGTCTTTTAAATAATCATCATTTGGTATTCCATGTTCTATATTAAGATAAACTAAGTTAATAAGATACTGTATGTTAGAGCCAACTTTTATATAATCAGGAAGTAAAATTATATTTTATAATTCTGAGGTATTTGTTCTATTTTCAACCTAAGAAAATTAAATATAACAAAATATACTAAAAACATATTTGGCTCAAACATGTCAATACAATCTTACCTCCAAAAGCCAGTTTGCAAAGAGTTTATTTTTTTCTAATTCTGTTTCTAATTACATATTTTGATGCAATATAATAATTTTTTCATGTTGCTATAAGTATAATAATTGTAACAAAGCACCAACTATTTGTTCTCTTGATCCTTTTACAACAACTGGCAAGATTTGGCAGAAGTTATCACCAAATACAACTGTAATTCTCCAAATAGTTATTCATTATTGTGAATATCATGTAAGGAATAATCAATAGCTTTGGAACAATAATGATGCTGTAAAGGTATTTTGTCCCAAATAATAAGTACAGTTTGATGTATTAAATCAGCAAGATCAGAAGTTTTATCAATTTAGCAAAAAAAGTCTTCAGTAACTGCAATAGAAATTTTAAAAGTTGAGTGAGATATGTGACTGCCATTAAGTAATAGAGCTACAATATCTGAAAAAGCTACACAAATCACAATTTTGTTTTTGCTATAAACTTTTATAGCAAGTGTATTGTAAACAAAAGATTTTCCAGTTCTAGCAGCTTTATTGAAAAAAATAGTTGGCTATGTTTCTTATTTATTGAGCTATAAATACTATAATATGCAGCACTTTGGTTGTTATTTAGTTGTTGAATGCAATTTTCAACTAATAATCAAAGTTGTTTATAATCCCAAGCTAATTGTTCAGCAATAAGATAATTTCTATAACAAAGACTCCAATTGTGGTCTCAATAAGGCATTGAAGAACACATAGCAAGTAACATATTTGAATTATATAAAATTTCATTAATTAAAAATAGCCCATAGTCATACACCTAGTCTTTAGTTAGTTTTTCAATAACGAGCTTATTATGTAACTGATAATAGAAATCATTGCAAATATTGGCATGAAAATTTAATCACAATCTTTTTGGATATGTTGGTATATATTGAATTAGAATAACTGCAAAAAGTGATCTCAATTGTAAGCAATTGTAATAATAGAAACTTCCTCTAAACATTGACTCCATTTATCATCATCTTTTAGCAGGCCAAGAGCTATGCATATGCTTTTGAACATTGGGCATTCAATACTATTAACAGTTCTCAGATGCTTGAATGACTGTGAAACACAGATGACAGTAAGTAAAAGTTGTAGATTAAACTATTCTTTAGCTAATAGGTTCACAAAATATATTCTACTAATAGCAAACCTTTTTTTTCAAACTGACCATTTTTTATATTTTTATTTCACACAAAATGTCAAGGAAATTTTTAATAAGTGTATCATTATGCAAATTTTATAGAAGCACAAATCTTAAAAAATTTAGTTAAGGTTGTTTTCTGACAGTCTGCATGGGATAGAATAATTGCAACTTCATCATTTAAATCATAAACAACCTGATGCATTTCTGGAAAGTGCAATGCAAGTTTTACAACATTGGGTACTTCTTTATGTAAATGCATTCCAAACAGTCACTATGCTGCTTCTAAAGTACTATGTATCTTGCATTAATAAACTGCTTAATCTCATCTGATTTACATCCAAATTGCATAGTGCTTCGATCATAGCCTTTATAGATATACTTGTATATATATTTAATAGTCTGCATGCAATTGATAACAGAATGAAAATTTAAATAAAAAAAAGCAACTTAAAAACAAAGAAAAAGAAATAAATAATGATAAAATATAATGTAATAAATAAAAAAAATCCATATATATAATAAAATTAGTAAAATAAATAAAAAAATATCTATAGTTAAGTTAGTATAATTATGCAAAGCTTAAATATATACAAATAAAAAAGAATCACAAAACCTAAAAAAAGCAGCAACTATAGTTTCTGTTGAACCAGCAGTGTATTATATAAAAAAACCTTGAAGTAATGCAATATGGTACTATTTTTGTGTTAGCTTTAAAATCACATTTGTTTAACATAATTTATGAATACAGCCAAAATTATAGCATAAAACTTAAATAACACATATATCTGTATTAATACACAAATTTTAATATTTTATAACAATTGAATTTTCAGCTAAGTGTGAGATTGTATAGTAGCACATCTCTATTGTCAATAGTCTTGTTGCCAACATTAAATGTACAGTTATTATTTTATCTTATATAAAAAGGATACTTATTAAAATTTATTTATTTATATCATTAAAGTCTTTAGGATACTTCTTTTAACATTTCTCACTTTCTATACATGGGGTTTAAGAATTACATGCATTACAAAGATTATAAACTATACAACATAATATTGTTTTAAAGAGCAAAGGATCTGTCTTTTGATCAAGAAATTTAGAGATACACTTCTGTTAACATTAATAGGTTTTCTTATTTTATTGTTGTTATAAAGAAAAAATAAAAAATGCATATAAGAGAAACTGCATTTTTGAAATTCTATTGTATACACATATGTTATAACTTTTTCGAAAATATTAGTATTCTTAATGTTATAAAAAAGAGCACTACATTTAAGCTCAAATATATGTGCTACCAAGTCTGGCCTATTTGCTGAAGTCTGGCCTATTTGCTGAAGTCTGGCCAGGTAGTAATTTATTAATAATTTCTGACCAATTCAGATTTGTGGTCATAGTTCCAAAGATATCTGAATGCTAAAAAAAACATGTTATTATCATTGAATTCTGAAAAATCTTATACATATAACAGGCATTTCTAATATGTAATGAAGAGAGAATTATATAACAGTCAAGATTAGCTAAATTTATTTCTGTATTTGCAATAGCTCCTATTGCATTTATAAGCTTCTGATATACATCTGCTCTTAAAACACCTTGGTTTATACACAAAAATCTTAACTAATTTTGTTCAGTTACTGCCTAAGCATCTATCATAAATTTCTATAACAACTTTCTATTACGAAAAATAGATAAAAACTCTGTATATCTTGAAAAAAGGTAAAAAAAGTAGAAGTCCATCTGTGTAAGGCATGGTGCATTACTCTAATCTTTAATTGTTCTTCTATTATCATTGACTACAACTTGACACAATTCATTTTGCCACCCAAGCTTATCATATAAAAAAAAAAGCACATAGTGTAGTAGTAAATAAGCCAAATTGCCTTCGTGAATGCATTCAAGTGAACCTTCATATAAATGAAGTATAATGTCTCAAGATCCCTCTGATGCAGATCTATTAACAGAGAGAATAAGGGCTATTTTATTTGAAGCAGAAAGATTGTAATAATGTCAATTAGTAGCTGTATTAAAATAAAAATGAACAGTTAAATCAGTTTCAGACACTCCTTTCTCATGGACTTAAGAAAAAATTTTATGGGCTTGTCAATACTTAGAGTAAAACACATGATTTTATCAAAAAATCTGTTGTATTTCCTATATGAGTTGAGTGCTTAAATTTTTGTTTCTTCCTATTTGTATTTGGTATGCAATATCCAGATCATGAATATAAAGTTGTATATAATTTGTAACCAGATTAGACTCTGAAAGAAGTAAGCCTAACTAATGATGCAGTTTATCATAAATACGAAAACAATATGAGGCACATTTACTTAAAACAGTTGAGTTAATATTTACCCCTAATGAAGTAAATGCATATGCAGCATTATATTGGCATATTTTTGTATGAAATTTTTTGCTTTGTTCATAATGACTTTTAAAGAGACATCATAAATATAAAGGTGGGTTAAGAAGAGTAGAAAGAATAACTTTTTCTTGTTTGCAGCATTTTCCAAACTTTGGGTTTGTTTTTGAAGAGACAATAAGATTTTCATTGAGCCAATAAAGTGCACTACAATAAGAATACTTTAAATCTATATGGCCAAAATAATGACACACATTTTCTTGAATACATGTCCTTTTCAATTATTTATTCTCTCTTCTTGATTATTGTGCAATAGATCTTTTATTTGGCATATCAGCTGAATTTTGCATTCTTTTAAGTTCTCATCTATCACATTAGGCAATAACTTTTAATTCTGGCTCATTTTCACAGATTTCTTACTTCATGCTCTTCTTTGTTACTGAGCTATAGACCTTCAACTTGGTTTATTTTCTAGAGCTTCTCTTTTATGTGAGCATCTTTGTTGTTAAACTATGCCTCTTCAACTCAATTTGCTTTTTTTTGCTTCTTTCTTATGTGCTCTTCTTTGTTGCTAAGCTAAAGATTATTGACTACTGTTCATATAGATATTTGTAATTGGATAAAAAATATTAAAGAATAGATTAATAAATAGTTAAATGAAACAAGTTAAAAAATTACTATTTAATAAAAAAAAAGTTTATCTTTTATATTAATACAAGCATATTAAATTAGACTCTAAAGTGTGAATGCATATTAAGTGAATACTACTAAATAAATGCATGAATTCAGATATTTAAGTTGTTAGATATAATAAACTATAACTTAATGTAGTATTAGAATATTCAATGTACTAAGTAAACTAAAAGATATATTTGATATCATTATTTAATATAAATATTTGCATATATGAATTCTGTGTCAGATTTGGATATATAAATAAAGTTTGAAGCATTAAAGGTAGTTTAATATTCAAATTTTTTGGAAATAGTAGATTTTTTACAAACTGAACACTTGTTTTAAAACTTCCTAATCAAATTATGCACAGAATTCATGAGTATTAGAATGGTATATCTTGATGTATGCAATATGCAATATGCTAGTAAACTAAAAAAATTACTTGTAAAACATAAAAGTTATATAGTTTTTTTAAATACAATTTTTCAAGATTATTATAAATTATTTAAGATAAAAAGCCTTGATCTTGTAGCTTATTACAAAATAAAGATTTTTTATATGTTTTTACAATACTTTCTTTCAGCAGCTTATATATATAATCTGTTTTGTGATCTTAGTAAAATGTACTAAAAAACTTGAAGCTTTTATGCTATAATACAATAATATTAATTTATTACTTTGAAGTACTTGACTTTAATGTTATATTTTATTTGCAAAAGTTAAAAGTAATTAACAATCACTATGTTGACAAAATCTTATGTGTTGAGTAAAAAAAAAAAACAGTTAACAATAGTAATATAGGAGAAATAAATAGGTTTGTATATTTTTTATTATATATGCTATATTAAATATTTTTAGAAAATTAAATATATGCGAATAATATGTTGTTACTATAGGAGCTTTAAGATACAATAAAAAAATTTGTATCATAATTTATAAAATAATAATGATAGTTATATAAGATAGTATAGTGTAAAAGTTTAGAAATTTAAGTAGATATAGAAGTAAACATAGGATTAGATATAGAATTAGACCTAAAATTAAATATGTATAGATTATTATATAAAAAGATAAAACCTACAATGATGTTGTTAATGCAGATCTTACTTAATTAAGGTTAGAAATAGGTTAACTACTATTTTAGATAGTAATCTGCATTAATAACATAACCACTTTTATGAGTTTTTATTACAGGTTTCATACTGTTGTATTATTATTATTGAAGTTTTGTAATATAGACTATATAATAATTAATAATCTTAACTTTTGAATAGAACTCTTTCTGCAAATCCATTGCACAAAAATTAACAAAAAATTCGTCCGTCTAAAAACTCTTATAACTATTTATTTTAC